ACCTACTAAAGCTACTGTTCCTCTATATATTCGCGTTTGAGTTCATAGTAATTGTGTTTTATTTAAACACGGCGTCCACTGTCAGTCACGAGGCTTTTAAAACTTATAAACTATTGCATCGGTTCTCTATTATATGTTCCCATAGACTGAGCATGGTACAAAAGTTTAAGGTATGATCAATGTAATTTAATCTAATAATAAACCTAAAGTATGCTAGATAATATTATCAAATTATAATAATAGAAAATTAATATTATTTATTATTATAGTGATAAGTATATTAAACTAAACTAATTATTAAATAGTTACAGTATTGTAAGCAAATTCAAATAAGTAATGTACTGTAAAATAATATTAAATAATGATTACTATTAGCAAATATTGTATTATGGTAATTTAAATGGGGTGTATTAAAAATTATTGTTTTATTGTTTATTGTTTTTGCAATAAATGTCACATTTTTTATTAATTTTTATATTGTTTTTATTTTTAGTTATTAAGTTTCACTGAAAAAGTAGCCCAAAAGCGGGTTGGCTTCCGGTTTGGCATATTATTCATTATAAATTATTTTAGGTTTTACCAGGTAATTATTATTCAGCACTTTCTATTATAAAATTCTTTAAAATTAAAATGATCATGATTATATTATTTATGAGAGCAGATTATCGCTATAATGGCCGCATATTTGTTAAAAATATACAAACGACTCATTTTTAACAAAATAATTCACATTTAATGCTTATTATCAAAAATTAATTATTATGTTTACATTTTAGTAAATGCTCGTGATAAAATGAACTGTAAATTATTTTTAAAACATTAATTCATGTCACTCAAATGATTTTAAAAATATAATTATTGGTATATCTTTGGTGATTTTTAATTTTTAATTATATTGTATTCTTATAACTGAATCAAGGTAAAAATTTAAGTAAAACATTATTTTTATTTTCGTTACCCGGTTAATAATAATTATTACATTAACATATAACTGACACATTAATAACGCAATTTTTTACATTTAGTAAACTAATTAAAATGTTCAATAATATTTTATCCATGTTTACGCTTATTAAATTCAACATGTTCACTTTCCAACTGATCCTGGTCATAATATGGCAGCCGTACTCTATTAGCGGGTCGACCCCTTATATCCGGTGCCTTAAACGCCAAAACTTCGCCTACAGTTGGCTGCAGTTGTTTATCAAAGTATGAGTTGAGATACCGGTTCCCATTTGTCACAAACAACTCGGTATAGTCCGGACCCCCAAATGCTACCGAGGTGGTTGCATTGTCCAAGGTATCAATCGAGCATAATATTTGTCCTGAACAAACAATTATTTGGGAAATATTATTATATTATATTAGCACATTTAAGTACGCATGCTTAATTTATAAGATGTTAATTAATTAATATAGCACCGGTGTGTGTGTCAATTTGAATGACCCGAGACCCAAAATATACAGCAACCCATAAATTGTCCCGGCTATCCATGGCAACACCATCGGGTCGTTCCCATGGTTGAATACCAGGGTGATTATTGAAGTTAAAAAATATTCGTCTATTTGCTGGAAATAATAAAATATGAATTTTTAATTATTATCATGAACATAAATTATATTTAATTTAAATGCTCAAAAATGTTCAATGTCCATAACGACCCAATAAATTGTTGGTCGATTAAAATTTTTATAAATATTATATTTTAAAAGCAATATCAAGGAAAATACTAAATATTAGTGAAAAAGACATTAAAAATTTTAACATATTTATTAATAAACGCTACTAAGCTACACATAAATTTTATTATAACTTAAACTCCTATCATGTATTAAAATACTAGTATGCAATAAATTATATTAACTAGTACAATATCGTATTACTAAATTAAACAAATCACTCACAAATTGCACCAGAGTCCAATTTAAAATCGTAGATATATGGTATATCACCCGTTGCGCCGTATCAGCAAAATAATACTTTGTATTATCGCCACTCCATGCCATACCATTAGGCAACCAAAAATGGTCGTCCATTTTAGTTAGCCTATCACCATCTAACCTATACAGAGCACCAGCATCTGGCACGGGCACGTCATCCGTATAATAATCCAAACTGACCAGGCTACCGATCCACAACCTACCAAGCGCATCTACCTTACCATCGTTAAACTTTTCAACCCCGATATCATTACTAGTTAAGCGCCGGTAGCTTTTGAACTCCCAGTCCACCTCGATTAGGTGGTTACGCCTACTGACCACCAGTTTGTTGGGCGCGTAGAGCACCGGTATCACAATAGATGCGAAATTACCCACGTTCAATATTTGCGACTCACCGGTGCTTACATTGAGCTGGATAACATCGCCGTAAAACATGTCCACGTGGAATAATGTCTGTGTTAGGTCATCCCAAAAGGAACCCTCACCCAAGTGGTAGGCCGTATGGCTGACGTGCCGGCCCTCCAGGTTGTCGTGACATTTATCAGGGTAACTGAGTTTAGGTTTATTACCGCAAGTCGTATGAATACTAATGAATAGTATTGTAATAAACAATTATTAAAATGAGTTGTCTTTGATAGTATAGACATATTTTTTAGTTTATTTTATATGATTTATAAAACTAAGTTTATGATCAAGCAAAAAGCAAATCTTGCCAACTGTGATCCAGCTGAATTCATGGTTTTAGTTATGCTAAAATAAAAATTTAAAATATACTTTATTTAACTTGCTTTATGCTACAACAAGTACATCAAATTTTATAGTTTATTTTAAAACAAGTATTAAATTATACAAAACTTTTACAATTGCTTAAATTACAGTCTATAACTACAAGTTAATTAATTCATCATAATCTTGTACATGTATAATTAAACATACATTACATGAGAATAAATAAAATATATTTACTAAAATGTCTATAAATTATAATTATATTAATCTATTAACATGTTTGTCATAATCATCATTATCATCGTGCTCGTCCACATTATTATGTCCACCCTGGTTATAGTAAGGTAGCCGTACTTTATAAGCGGGTCGACCGCATATAAACTCTGCCGTAAATCCCAACACTTCACCGATAGTGGGCTGTAGTTGTTTGGCCTTATATGTGATGAGATCCCGGTTCCCATTAGTCACAAACAACTGGTTATAATGGGGACCACCAAATGCTACCGATGTGGTCTGGTTGACCAGGGTATCTATCCATCTTAGCACGTGACCTGTACAATTTCAAAACGTATCACTAGTATAAGCAAGGACATTATTTAATAGTTAGGTCACATACCGGTGTCCGTATCGACGTGGAATATACGTGCGCCAAATAGCGAGGTAATCCATAGATTATCCTGGCTGTCCATAGCCATGCCATCGGGCACTTCCCATGGGTTTATACCAGGGTACGTATTAAAATTGAAAAATATTTCCCTGTTATCTGACAAAAGATGCAGCATTATTAATTGAACTTAAAAACTGAACTAAACCGAATTAACATGAAAATAATTGTAATATTTATTTCATATCATTGTGTTTACTTTAAACTGTAAATATAGTTACTAATAATGATAGGTCTATGCATTCGCTATATAAACCATTTATTTTGGTGCGTCAGGAAAGGTGTCTAAATTTTTATTATACCTACTGTATAATCGGGTTATTTATTAACTAAACAGTTTTCAAATTATTAAATACCCTGCTTACATAAAACTAATGGACGCTAAATAAATGCCAAAATTAGAAATACATCAGGTTTAAATTAAACATCATGTTAACAATAAATAATACCATAACTCATAAACATTTATCAAATGATAATTATACTAAAATTTAAAATTAAAGCTATTTAAAATCAAGTCCCTTACCAATAGCACCGGCATCTAAATCATAATCGTAGACATAGATCACCCTTTCCACGGTGTCGGCCACATAGAACTTTGTATTATTACCATTCCATGCCATACCATTAGGTAAGGTATAATACCCGTCCATTTTGGTCAACTCAAACCCGTCGAGCCTATACAGGGCACCGGCATCTTTGACCGACGCATCATTAGTGTAGTAATCCAGACTGACCAGGCTGTTTATCCATAAGCGACCTAGAGCATCCACCTTACCATCGTTAAACTTTTCGACCCCTATATCATTGGTGGTTAAGCGCCGGTAGCTCTTAGCCTCCCAGTCCACTTCGATGAGGTAATTACGTTTACTGACCACTAGTTTGTTCGGGGCGTTGAGCACCGGTATCACGATTGATACATAGTTGCCAACATTGAATCGCTGCGACCTACCGGTGCTCACATTCAACTGCAGGACATCCCCGTAGAACACATCGACGTGGAACAGGCTCTGTGTTCGGTCGTCCCAAAAGGGACCCTCACCCAAGTGGTAGGCGTTTTGGCTGACATACCGGCCCGTAAGGCTAGCCTCACACTGCTCATCGTTTTTTGCTTTTTTATGTTTAATGCCATGAATTGCGTGAATATTCGTGAATATAATGAGTAGTATTAACAGAATATTATATAATAGAGAATATTCTGCGACCAATAGTTTGCACATGTTTTACGAGATTTATTTTTATCAATGTTATAATTTTAGTGTTTAATTTTAATTAATTTTTATATACCTCGAGTCAATCACCTAGTATCTACAGTCTATTACTGTTTGGTGTTAAACTTCACTGGAGCATAATAAAGCATACATCATTATATTTTATTTTCATCATAAATATTTATAATTTGTTGAATTTATAATGAAAAATTATAATTAAAATTAACATATGTTTTGTAATAATATAAATAAAAGTTGTGACTTATTTTCAATGTAATTATAATTAAATGTAAACATTTAAAATGAATTCTAGATTTATAGAGCTATGGTTGTATGTATGAGCAATGTCATGTATGATTACAAATAAACACTTGCATATAAAACCACATTAATGTACTGTATTTTATTAATAATTTTATTTACTAAACTTGTATATTGAATCGCTTTATCAGATTTATATGAATTAGAATAGATATATGCGAGAGGGCTAACATGAACCCGTTTATGCAGAATGTGGGGAGAATGGAAAAAAAAGTTGCTCCAATTTGTGTGCCAGATAATAAGCATTGAATATTACTTTCAGAGTACAGTATTGCTATTAGATATGAAAATTTAAATAATTTACTCCTTTACCACAAATTATTTTAAAAATTAGCAAAATTAATTTACCAGTATCATTTCAAAAAACATAGGGCGTCAGCTATCAATTGAATTAAATGAATATTTTTTAAAAACAAGATTTTGTATAGACGTAAAAATTATTATAAATTACAGCTAAGACATCAAGTATATTTTATGCATTAATCTATTCAATTAGTATGAATTATTATTTGCATGCTTAATTAGCACTTGTCAGTGAACCGCAAGTTAGACATTTGTATAATATATTATATATTCTTTAGTTTATTCATGAATAGTATTAAGAATATTCTGTATGACATGATTTATATATCACTATAAATTTCTACAAATTACAAAATGTATGTAGCAAATGAGATTGTATTTGTAACTATGATTATTACGCAAAAGTTACTGTTAAGTCCGTGTTATGAGGTAAAATTATTTGACAAAAGTTGCTCGTTGCCATTTTTAAACATAAATAACTTTAATATAACACAGTTTGTGTCAAGTTAAATATTTGCCCATCTAATAACTAATTTGTGTGTTTCTTATAAAAGAAAAAACAACTTTAAAAGTCAACATAAAATAATAATTTTAAATATTAACTATGAATTCACGTCAAAATTCACTCAACATATTGAACATAAACGCTATAATACCCACCCGTATGTCCATTCAAACAGCCGGTGCTCATCTATTCACCCGCGGATTATCACCACATAATCCACACCCAAAAACAGCCCCCAAACGCCCCCTAATCTACAACCCATACCTCATACTTTTTGTACTAATAATAAACGCTACTAGGTGTTTAGTAGCCTTGTTTATACCTGGATCAAGTGAACAATTATTTATCTATTTAGCGGATTATCCACATTATCTCAACGCGCAAACACATATGAATTTTGGAGTTTTGCAATATTATTTACTAGCTATTACGTCCCAGATACTTTACATATCACTCTATTACCGGGATATTTATCCCACATTTATGCTACCTTTCCACATGTTAGCCGGGCGTGTGGCACCGGTAGGTGTAGGGCTCACAAATCGGGCCGACATAGCTAGCATGTTTAAAATTTATAAAATATGTCACGTTATATCCGAGTGGAACCCGCGATTTTTGTACCTAATCACCTGGATGGTATTAATTTTAACATTCTGTTGGCGTATGAGTGTTCATAATCTATTAATTTATGCCTTACCTTGGTCATTATTGTATAGCCTGAGCACTTTCTATGCTCTAACCCACTTGCACTGGAATATCGCTTATTTCTATATTCTGTGTTATTATTTAAAAGTGAAAATTCGTGAACAAAACTCCAGAATCGTGTCATTCATAACACATTCCGTACGGAATTCCCGGCGACTATTACCGCAAAATTCTGTGGACTCTGTGCTCAAGAATTTGACTGAAATTCATAACGAAATCTCTGAGTATAACAGAATATTCTGGTCTAAATATTCTGTCATATTTCTAGTGTTTTTCACTATTTTTATGAATACTATGCTATCGTTGGCTATATTTGGCTCCAACCACT